ATGAGGGGTAATCCACTCTCTCCAAGAAGAATAAGGCTCCAATATTGAGAAAGAAGAGATATCAGTTTAGAGGAGGGTAATCCGCAACCTCTAAAACACTAGCACACCTTCAAGAAGAGGGGTAATCCACTCTCTAACAAGAAGGAACTAGCTCTGATACCAGTGAAAATGTAGTCTCGACAAACTGTCACGGACACAAAATACAGACTTGAAATCTAACAAGAAGTTCAAGAAGAAGTAGCAAAACTAAATTAAACAGATGAGTACAAGAACAACACCAGAAAGGTGAGCTAGAACTCCAAGAGATTTGTTGTCGAGACTGAAGAACCCTTCAGCCTCGACTCCTATATATACTACTGAATAGGAAGCTTCTCGAGCTACTTCCGCTAACTAGGACGCTTCTCCAACAACTTCTACTAATTAGGAAACTTCTCGAGCAACTTCCTAGAATCTATCAGAATATTCTAGAACCTTCTAAGAATATTCTAGAACCTTCTAAGAGAATCTTTAGGGAATATTCTAAGAACCTTCTAAAGGAATCTTTAGAGAATCTTTAGAGAATATTCTAGAAGAATATTCGAAGAATCTTCCAATGTATGTCCATGACAGTCATCCATCAATCAGAACCTATAGAGGTGACGTTTAAAGACCATAGTAGTTATATTATTTTCAATATTATTAGAACCCCATCAAATCCTATTATTCTTGGTCTTTCTTGGTTAGAAATGTATAATCCATCCATAGATTGGAGGTTACAAAGGATGACATTTCCTATAGAACATTCTAAGAGTAAGCCTATTAGAAGATCTCGAATCAAAAAACCCTTATTTATTGGAGCAAGAGCATTTATAACATCGTCCAAGGAAGGCACATTGTTTGTCATTTATATGACTCCAACTATCGGAGAAAAGATTACGACAACAAATATACCGGAGCAATATAAGGATTTTGAAGACATGTTTCAAAAGAAGAATGTCAACATGCTACGAAAGTATCGACTATACGATTGTGCCATAGACTTGCAGGGAGGAGCACAACCACCTTTTGGCCCAATCTACAATTTGTCGCAGATGGAGTTAGCAGAGTTACAAAAGTATATTGACGAGAATCTAGCCAAGAACTTCATTCATCATTCAAAGTCGCCAGTTGAGGCATCAATCTTATTTAAAAAGAAGAAGAAAGATGGCTTGCTATAGATGTGCATGGATTATCGAGGTCTCAACAAGGTGACAAAGAAGAATTGTTATCCATTACCCTTGATATCAAGTCTTCTAAAGCAACTTGAGCATGCAAGGATCTTTACAAAGATTGATCTAAGAGGAGCTTACAACTTCGTGCAAATCAAAGATGGAGACAAATGGAAGATAGCTTTCCATACAAGGTAAGGTCATTTTGAATATAATATCATGCCTTTTGGTCTTACCAATGCTCCAGTGGTCTTTCAACGCATGATGAATGACATCTTTCGAGAGTACCTTGATAATTTTATTATCATCTATCTATATGATATTTTGATATTTTCCAAGAATGTAGAAAAGCATGAAAAATATGTTCGTCTGGTCTTTGAAAAATCCTACGAGCGAGGTCTTTATGCCAAGTTGGAGAAATGCTTGTTTAACCAAAATAAGATGGAATTTTTGGGATTCATTACAACTATGGAAGGCTTGAAGATGGACCCTAAGAAGATGGAAGCAATTGTATCATGGGAAGTTCCAAAAACAATTAGAGATGTACAATGCTTTCTTGGCTTTACTAACTTCTATTGGATCTTCATCAAGAATTATTTTCAAGTTGCTGCTACACTCACTCAGTTGACATGTAAAGACAAGCTCGAATGGAGACCTTTAGCGGAAAAAGCATTTCAAGATCTTAAAACGACATTTACTAGGTCTCCAATCTTGGTACATTCGAACTTTGCAAAGGCCTTCTATTTGGAGACCGATACTTCAGATTTTGCTATGGGAGTTGTACTTTCATAGATAGGCACAAATGAAAAGCTTCATCTGGTTACATTCTACTCTCGAAAGTTTTTTGCTACTGAGATCAACTATGAGATCCACGATAAAGAACTTCTTGCGATAGTGGATTTTTTTCAAGAATGACGTCACTTTCTTGAAGGAGTTGCTCATCCAATGCTCGTATACACGGATCACAACAATTTGGAGTACTTCATGTCGACTCGAGTTCTGAATCATCGTCAAGCTTGATGAAATATGTTGTTATCTAGGTTTGACTTTGTTATTACTTATTGGACTGGCAAGTAATAAGGACTATTTGATGCATTATTAAGGAGATCGTATCTAGCGCCAAAGGCTAGAGAAGTAGCGTTTGATCAATAGTATACAACATTGTTGAAGTCAAAATAATTTAGGCTTTGCTTTGCTACAGTACCAATTGATGCTAACTTCCTCAATCAAGTATATACTGTGACTATTAGAGATTCTATAGCCCTCAATATCATGCAACATGTCAATAATCACAAGTTCAAGGTGGAAGGAAATCTTTTATACTTTGAAGAGCAGTTGTATATTCCAAAAAGATCAGCATGACTCCAAGTTCTCCAATCTCGACACGACTTTCCAACTGTGGGACATTTTGGATTCAATAAGACCTTGAAACTTATTTCCCCAGATTTTTGGTGGCCCCAAATGTAGAAAGATGTCAAGGATTTTGTCGTCTCTTTTGACATTTATTCAAGTTCCAAGAATCCTCGACATCGTCCTTATGGTCTTCTTCAGCCATTGCCTATTCTATATCGGCTATGGTCTTCAGTTTCTATGGACTTCATTACAGACCTACCGCCATCAAATTCATTTGACAACATCTTTGTTGTGGTAGATCAGCTTACAAAGATGGTACACTTTATTCCTTGTAAGAAAACATCGTCAAGCAAAGATACAGCAAGGCTCTTCCTTGATAGTATGTATTGATATCATGGTTTATTAAATGATATCGTGTCGGATCGAGAAACCCAATTCATATCAAAGTTTTGGAGATCTCTCTTTCAGATATTGAAGGTCGATATCAAGCTTTCTTTGGCTTTCCATCCTCAAACTGACGGCTAAACGGAACAGGTGAATCAAACTTTGAAGCAGTATTTATAATACAACATTAGCTATCAATAAGATGATTGGACTACATATCTATTATTAGCCAAGTTTGCATATAACAACAACCTTTATGCATTGACTCAACAAACACCATTCTTTTCCAACTATGGGTATCATCCAAAGCTTGATTTGTTGAGTCCGTCAACCAATAACAATCCGACAGTTGAAGGATTTGTGAAACAACTATCAGAGCTTCAAACTACGTTGAAGCTTTAATTACAAACTGCCCAAGAAGCTTACAAGGCATCCGTACATAAATTTCGAAATCAGGCACCTACTTTCAAAATTGGAGATAAAATATGGCTGCTTCAACGGAATATCAAAACTAAGGGGCCATGTAATAAGTTGGACTATCAGAGATTGGGACCGTTTGTCATCCAGAAACAAATCAATCCAGTGGCGTACTGTCTAGGGTTACTGGCTGCTATGAAGGTATACCCAGTCTTTTATGTTTCTTTGTTGGAGCCTTATCAAAAGTCATCTTTTCTTCAAAGAGTGCAATATCTACCACCTAGTATTGAAATTGAGAACCACGAGGAATACGAGGTAAAAAAGATATTAGATTTTTGACATAAGTGGGAGAAATTGGAGTACCTAGTGCATTGGAGCAGCTATGATATCAATGAGCGTACATGGGAACCAGCAAAAAATCTTATCAATGTGTCACAAAAGGTACAGGAGTTTCATCGATGCTATCTTTAGAAATCTAAGTCCTTTCGATGAAAGTTTTTCAGTGAAGTTCCTTCTTCTTGAAGTCTCTTAATCCTCGGTCTTCCAAAGAAAGGGAAGAAAGAACCTCTAAAAGACATAGTTACAAACTATAAATCTGTAACCTGAGCCCATTCTTCCATGTTTAGTGCTTATATTTTTCGATCTGATATGGATAGCCAAGAGATAGATACCATACCAATTATGTCTTCTCAACCAAGTATTTCACGAAGACGACCTCAAGATGAAGAACCGCCTGTATCATGAAGACGGCGGAGGATACCTAGTAACAAGTCGCTAGTGATTGTGTTTGAGGTAGAACCTGCCTATGGTGATCTTCCTAAAGGACTGTTTGCAGGGCATTTTCACAATGAAGACATGGAAGTTCATGCTTGGTCAAAAATCAAAGGCGTAGGACACTATCGTTGGTTATAAGGACTAATGAACTACTTGTTGCACGAACAACAATTGGAGTATATTGCAGACACTATGCGACAAATTTTCAACTTCTTACATTGGTACTGACTCGCAATAAGAGTGCTTCTCAGAGACCTCGAAGCTAAAGGAGGGGGGGTGATGTCAAGGACATACACTAGGAAGTTGTAGAAGATTCTAGAAGGTTCTAGAGAAGCTTTGTAGTTTGTAGAAGCTACTTGAAAAGTTTTCAAGCTCGTGGAAGCTGCTTAAGAAGCTTCCTAGCTTGTAGTATATATAGGAGCCGAGACTGAGAGAATCCTCAGTCTCGACAACACACCTCTTGGAGCTCTAGCTCACCTCTTTAGTGTTGTTCTTGTACTCATCTCATTTATCTAGTTCTTGCCAATTCTTCTTCAGCTTCTTGTTTAGATTTCCAGTCAGTATTCTAAATTCGTGACACCTAATAGCATTATAAAAGTAGATTTCATATGATTAATAATGCAAATTTTATTTTTTACAATTACAAACTTTAAAATAAGTTTTTTTTCATATGTTATCTCTAGTGTGCCATTTTTCTGGTGTTTAAAAAATTAACAAGAAAAAAAAAATGAAAACTAAAGACATATTTCTACTCAATGTTATGAGACAAAAAATAAAATAAAATAAAAGTAAAAGAATAAAATCTTTTTATCAAATATGTGTTTGTAATAAGATTAAAACAAAAATAAAATGAAATAAGGAGAAAAAAAAAAAAAAAAAAAAAAAAAAAAAAAACAGTATTGTTTATAATGTTGGGAAGATAAGCAGTGATTGAGTGGTAATGGTCTAACTCTAAGAAAAATCAGTTCAGAATCTATTTGCTAGTGCAACAACATAGCTTATAAATGACAGAATACTCTGAGTTTATATACCTACATTTGCCCTCTCACAGGTCATATGATTGCAAAAACACAGAGCTACATGGAATTACCAAGTTCTATTTAGTCATTGATTTTAAGCGGCGTTCCAGACATCATTTGAGGTCCATTTAACTAGGATTGACGTGCTTAAGATCTTCTAAAGCTGATAAGTACTACTGAGACAAGTTCCTGATTCTCCTCTGAAGCCGATATATTACAGCAGGATCTGACTTCACGGCAAATTCTGCGAGGCAATGATCATGCCAGTTTGATATTTAATCTTCAATGCAGCGAAGAAGTACTGGAATGACCAACTCCGGAGAGCTCAGTTGAGGTATGTGACCCTCAGTTTGTAAAATACGAATGGATGTCCACCCACCCAAGTTGCTGTTCAAGTACTCCGCCACTTCGACTGGAACGGCCAAGTCTTTCATACTTTGAAGTATGTGGCAAGGCACTGTAACCTGCATGCAGATCAACCAAAGGGTCATTTCTATTATCATGAAATCTTCACGTTCACAGCACAACTGTTAGTAAAATAGCTATTTATTTAACATAGGAAAGATAACATAGTGCCAATCAGACAACATAGCAAATCCCCAATGGAGTAAAATATCGAAGCCATGCAAATTAATGTGCAAGTCTAAGGTTGTCATGCCTGCGGTAATATGCTTCGGAGATCGCTTTGGAATATGATTTGAGAGATGCTGAAGGCGATGTCTGGTCTCATGGAGGATAATGTTCGAGAGAAATCTTGCACTGCTCTATTGTCAATGTGGGCACCTAGAGCAGCTGGCGCAAACCCCGATACCCACGTTCTGAAATTGGATTTCATGTTGGCATACATTTGGTCAAGGTCATGCTGCTCAAATCCTCCATGGTAGTTCGTATCATTCAAGTACCTGCCACAGAAAGATTGAGCCACAGCAGTTTCATGATGCCTGAGACAGTCCCCGCACAAAAAATTGATACAACTCATTCAATGTTTGACAATGTCGGTGAAGGGGTCACTGCATTGGCACAATACCTTGGAGATGCCCCCAAAAGAATGAGTTTTTGAAAAATATCTGGCTTTTCAAGAGATGCAAGGCAACCTATCATCCCTGAAATGGAGTGTCCTACGTACACGCAGCTCTCGATCTCAAGCTCGTCTAGAATTGCCAGTAGATCATCAGCAAATGACTGAAGAGAAGTGTATCTCTTGAAGCTGAAATTATTTGCATCAGTTGTGCTGGCTCCCATCAAGTCGTATAGGACGACTCTGAAGTTATTGCTCAACAGAGACGGCACTACATACTTCCACATAGATTGGTCAGATCCAAACCCATGCCCCAGAACCACAACTTGGTCGCCGTTGCCCAGAACACTCAGATTGTGGGCAGCTAACAAGGACTCGGACACCACCATTCTTTTAAAATTGCAGCGATCGGCGGCTGTCAAAAATTAGATTACTCTGTTCAGATTTGCTGACAAAACCATGTAATTCGACTCCTACCACAATAGATGCCATACACACATAAATATCTGTGATTACATTTCACAAGATGGAATCCGTCTGCATGTAGCAGCTGGAGCCGATTGATGTTCGGCAAACTTTAGTAAAAGTATCCAGAAACTGTTTAACAAGCAGCCAGAAACTCTGCAGTTGTTTCAGTCCCAATGGTCTATTGAGAAACAGGTTTTCATGTAAGTTAAGTAATATTCCTTCCCTACTACAAAGAGAGCTTTTCAGTATGACATATTTTGCGCCGTCAGAGTCTCTTGCCAAGAGAGTTACTTGCAAAACTATTTCGGCTGACGTACTCTACAGTCATTAAAGGGCAACTACGTCAAAAGTCGAATGTGAAGTCAATTAGCACACAAACACCGCTTACACAGAACAGTTACTGGTATGATAGACCGGCAATAAAGCGTGCGTATGACCAAAGAACCACGCAATCTACCGTAAGCTACTTCGACATTTGGTTCAGCACATACCGCGCTTGAAGTTGTCCCAGTTGCACGGAAAAGCTTCAAAATAATCTCCAATGGAATCTTCAGAAAGTTTTAGTATTTTCAGCGGTTGTTCAGAGTAATAAAGCGCCTTGCTCATGAACAAAAGAAGTCAAGCATTTCGCTATTAGAAGTCCCCCAAGAACCTAAGCTACAGATTACTTGGAAAGTTTTTGTAACATAAAACCAACTACAATCGACTGCAGTTGTCGAGGGTAATTGATTTTCTTGCGAAGTCACACGACCAAGCAGAAGATCTACTAGATCGTTCTTGGATTGACCTTCCCTTGAATGTAGTTGATACTGCAGAAGACATACATCTCAAACTTTAGAGAACTCAACTATACTAAATCAACTCGCATGGGGCAGCCATTGCAGATATGTGTATACAATGATAATTAAACAACCTTCCTGCAGTTTTCACTTAGGAATGTATAAACTCAATCTATAGGAGCCATCCGGATACTCAGAATTCACGAAGCTTGTGTCATTACATACTTTCACAAAGATAGAAAACCAAATTACATTGCCTCCGACCAGAGATTCAAGAGGGGGTGAGCTCATAATAAATATTACGAGTTTATGCGCAGTTCATAATAATAAATAAAAAGATAAACTAAAACTGGATCACATACCAGGTGAGTTTGTAATTGACTGGCGATGAAGCGGACGACGCAGAGCTATTCCTTAAAGACAGGGAAGTGGTACAATGGATGAGTCCTCGTGGCAACAAAGATGGTGGCTACGATAAGGTACCAAGGAAGATCGTTACGCAGGGCAAGAAGAGCGAATGCAAATGCAATGAAACAATGATATCCTAGCTTCTGTTATAGAGGAGTGAAAGGTGATCGCCGAAGGATAAAATATGCGTGTAGTGCGGAATCGAAAAAGTCAAGTAGAAAATTATTCTATATTATGGTTCCTTTACAGAAGGCTTGCGAAAAGTTATCATTCCGCCTTTTCAGTCTTCATGCCAACACTTCAGAGTACTCAGAAATAATAATTGCTCGAAATCCCCTCCCAATCGACTTTGCAGTTTAATTAACCTTTCCACTACCAGCAGCTTGTCCTCTGTAAAATGTAATTTCGACGTTTTCTCCATCTCGTGCAGGATGCATGACCTGCTCGCAGAGGTTTCCAACCAGAGGCTCTCCAGAACCGCCTTCCACTCGATTCGATCCACATTTCCGCAAAATTGGATAAAGACCTCATGCTTGGGAATACAAAAAAATCCAACGAAGTGCCGTGGATCGCAGTTGGACCAAGAAACCATGCCATCGACACCTCATCGGCTCCCTTTCCTCATGAACCATCACTAATTCTTCCAGCTGATAGAATGCAATTCGATCCAATACACATCAGCCTAACAATTGTTACCGCATGGCAAGCAAAAACTCATTTCTATAGACTGTCGTGTATCTCTGACGCTAGCGCCTCCTTTCACGCCACTCAGTGGACCCGCCAACGATGAAACGGGGAGCATAGGAGCAAATGAATAAGACGAAATACTGCTTTCCTCTCTATGGTAGCCCTGCCAAACCTACGGCGGGAAAAAAGCTATTTCCTCTTTAAGGGAACGATTTCAATGGATTGGTTCGAATGTTAGCATCGGGGGAACGATTTGCGAGGCCATCTCCTGGCAGAGCAGATCCGTTGGCCGAGCGAATCCGTTCATAAAGTTCGTTGATTTTGCTTCTCCAGCTCATTATTGGACTAGGACCTCAAAGCGTAGGCCGTGCATCTTCCACGGTGAAACAAGTCCGCAGACTACTTACGCTGTAGAAGATAACAAATTTAATATAAAAAAATTGAAAATTCTATTGTAAAAACTTTTAAATTATTGTTCTAAAATTCTTTTTTGTAACATGTTTTTAAAATATATAAACTTTTATGTGTATTTATTTTAAAATGGTAATGCAAATTTAATTATTTATTTAATTTAGTATGTAGGTATATATATATATATATATATATATCAATTTTTTCAATTAAGCAATTTTACTTTATCTATTTTTTTAAATACTAAAAAATAAATCACTTATATTGAATTTATAAAACAAACGTGAAATACCAAGATAATCTTTAATTATGTTAGTTTTTTTAAAAAATTTAGTTGAAATTGAACCTCTAAGGTTGATTAGAATTTAATAAGATTATTCAATTTGTATGAAAAATTATTAAATATAATAATATTCTTTTTAAAAATTTATTTTTTTAAATAGAGCATAAAATAATCTATACATGATTAAGGTATAAAATCATATCCTTAAAAGTTTATCTAGTTGTTGAGATTTCATTCTGGCTTAGTTATGTGTGTGTATATATATATATATATATATATATATGTATTACTAAAAGTTTTATAAAGCTTTAGATGGTTTATTCCTTACTTGATTTGTGCTAATTTTAAATAATGTTTTTATTTGTTTTTTTTGTATAATCTTGTTTTGATGTAAAAAAATATTAGAAAAAATATATATATATCTATATATATATCTATATATATATATATATATATATATATATATATATTTTTAATGCAATTAGAAGAATCAATAAAAAATCCTTAGATACAATAAAATAAATTTTATTTAAAATATAAACAAAAACCAATAAATAAATAAATATACATATACCTTTGAAACAAAAAATTATATCAAAATAATGTTCTATGTCAATACAAATAAAAACCATGATTGATTAAACTTATAATGTTAATACATTTTAACATGAAATAATTTAATGTTATTAAATTAATTAATTAAAATAAGGGAATTGTTAAATTAACCTATGCATTTACTAAACTGATCCACCTAGCATCATTAGTTACAAATCCAACTATTGTTTTAGTGGTTTTCAATCAATACAGAGCTAATAGTAGGAAATTTTTGGATGATGGTTAGGATGGGTGGATTGATTTAGTAAGAATGTGAAATTATAATTTTAAATCATAACATATAAATTATTAGACAAACACATGTTTGTGTAAAGGTTAGTTATTAATATATACAAATGTAAATATAAAATTTTATTGTAGAATTTCAAAACTTGTAGCATAAATTGTTACAAAATTAATTATTTATTTGTAATAATTAAACAATACAAATTGATTTAATTTTTTATTTTAGATATATTATTTTGATTATTAGATAATATTAATTAAATAATAAACTGTTATAATTTTCTCAATCAATAAATACTTTTTTGTTTATTGGCTCTAAAGATAAATCTTAAAAGTTTAGAAATGAAAATTAAATTCTAAAATTTAAATTCTAAATTCAAATTGTAAAATCTTATATATGATATTAAACCCACATCTAAATATTTTACTTTGACACTTGTGGCACAAATATGCAACAATAAATTTCAAAATACTTGAAACGAAATTGATTAAACATTGTAAAAATCGTAAGAAATTTTTATTTTTATTTGTTTGATTTCTTCTTATTCCTGTATCAATGATTCTAAAGCACTAAATATAGATCTTGTCAAGAAAGAAGAAAAAGAGCACCACATAAGATTGGATTTGTAATCTTTTTAAATAAATAGTTTATTGAACTTTATCCTGTTTTGTTTATTTAATCATTTATGAGGTTACATAATAGCAAAACATGTTTCTGCAAAGAACATCTTCTTTTCCATTGATGTATTCTTTGACAAACTAATATTTTTTTCTTTAAACCATTGTAATTAATATCACCACAATCTTTCTCCATCCTTTTCTTTTTCATAATCTTATTTACTTGAAGAATTTAATATTTGTGGCATTTGAGCATATTCTAATTTTCAATATTAACAATTAATAGAGCTAAAAACATTATAATAGATTGCAAACAATATGTAGTATTCTTATTTTATATATATATATATATATATATATATTGGTTTCTTTAAAATCATTTACAATAAGATGAATGAAATTAAAATTAAAAGCTATTTTGACAATGTTTAAAGCTTTAAAGTTAGAAATTAATTTTTTACTTAAATATTACCATGATCTTTTTATTGTCTACTTTTACTTTTTGAAAAACTTCAACACAAAAATGTTTCATTTGTCAAAAAATCTTAATAAATTCAGACGTTTAAAGAAAGAATCAGGTTTTTTGAAAATTGATTATTGAATATGATAACATTGTTTTAGTAGTGTGTAAATAAGAACTAAGATATTTATTTCAAACTTGTTATGAAACATTATGTGTGATGGAGACGGACATTGTATGCAACTAATATTGCAATCAAAATCAAACAATTTTACCAAAAACTGAAGTCCCCCAAAAAAATTCTATGTATATATACATGTTTACTTATTTATTAAACCAATGTTTGCACACTTTCTGGAGTTCATTCTTCAACCCACCTGTTAGATGTGCAACTGTCTTTGCCTATTTCAACCTCAAAAAACTATTCATGCGTCAAACAACCAATGCAGTAATGAAGACACTGGAAAGGCCAAAGCTCCCTATACGATTAGGTTTAAAACTTAGGGTTAAAAACTCAGCTACAGACACAGATTATGAGACTTCCACCCAAATCGAAGTGTCACTGGATCTCTCCACAAAATGATTTTGACATGGGTTTTGCCGAAGTTCAGAACATGCATCAATTCAGTTCTCAACCACTGAAATCCTCAGAGAAGATTGTTTTTTTTTTTGTTTTTTTGTTATTGTTGGTGTTTTTGTGTTTAGGGTTTGCTCACCTTGTGAAGGTAGCCGTGTCGATGGCCAGGTCTTGAGTGTGCCCTCTTGCTTGCAGTAGATGAATTGCCGCTTCAGTGAGCGTAGAGGTTTTGAGGAATCTGAAGCAACAACGAGAGGTTGTGAGACAAAGCCCCAGGAGACGATCCCTTCTTCATTTCACATGGATAGCATTACGGAGAAATCCCTGGCCCTGCTTCACTGATTGACCATGGCGCTCACTTTTTGGGGTCGTTGCTCGTGCTTAAAGACCTCACTTCAAGTGACAGAAGTTGGTCCCACTCCCTCCAACGCACTTTGATCGCAGCTATTAGTGGGGGTTTCAATGTGGCCGTCATCAGCGCTAGTTTCGGAGGACGAAGTCTTGGTGCTGTATTGTCGAGATTGATGTTGGTTCTCCTTGTGGGCGCCTGGATATCTCATCAACTTTCTACTTCTGTGTGGTATTGGAGTGTCGGGGCTTTACAGATTGAGTATTGGGTTTCCGGGGTTTTCCACATTTCCTGGACTTGGTGTTGAAGTGTGGATGGGATTTACTTTCCTTACAGCTGGCGTGCGAGATTGGAGCCACTGTTGTTCTGTGTTATTGCAGCATCCCAAGGAGTACTCATTGCGGGGCTCCTCTTTATGCTTTCCGCTTGGATATCCACGTGCATGATCTACTGATTTGGCCTGGTTCACGAGATTTGTAGGCCATACGCGAAGCCTCCGATTCATTGCCGAAGCATTTTCACACTTTATTCTGGGAATTCCTTTTCAGGCTCGGCCTAAAGCCCATGAACTTTGCATACATCACTGTGATGAAACATCTTAAAGATTGCAAAGCGAAATTCTTGCGTGGATACCTTTAAGAATGTGGTGAGATGTGGTGTAGCAACGCTATACGGAGGTACACTTGATAAATCTGTGTGATCTGAGTTTCCGTTTTATTCCTTGAATACTTCTCGAATTACATTCCCGTCTTTTAACGAACCAATAGGCACAAAAATGAAGTCCTTTCAATACTGCAAAAAATGCTACTGAACGTGGATAAAATACGGCTACTAGGTGAATATCTTCACAACCACGAGATGTTTGAAACACAGGTTAGGCTGGATTGGGATCGATGAAGGGATATGACACCAATTGCAACCAACAACTGCTTGAATTTTGATCTTTTTGCAGTTTGAATCTAATGTATAAAACACCACCAAGGAAGGCTGAAAAGAAAGTTATGCCTCTGAACATTCAGACAATAGCAGTAGCTAAATCCATCCTTCACAAATCCTCTCTAGCTTGAATTGTGTTCTCACAAAACCTACAGCTGGTGGCAGAGAGAAGTCCACCTTTTTAAGGCAAAGACCATGAACATAGTAAAATCAACCCTCTAAACCAAGAAACATCGGAATCAAAACCGTGCCATTCACTAAACAAATCAGTGGATGCAGCCACTGTGCATACCACAGCTGAGTCCCAAGGACAAGACAAGCACAAGGCCACGATGCATGAAAGACTCCAATGAAAGTCACCCACACAAATACATGTTTGGCATTGTCCTTAATACTACAAAAGTGAGGATCTCACTAAGTATTAAACATGTAACTCCCTTTTCTGGATGCTTATGATCATGTGGATGTGTATCTCCATGTTGGGTGTTTCATAGACACATGGAGCTATGTATATATCTACATGATTCTAGATAATAATGATGTATTCTATCTCCATGTTGTCAAATCCACCAGACTAGTAAGACATGTAAATATTATCAACAATGATTACAGTGGTATTCTAAGGTAACACCCTC